AATAGGTATTTACTTTTCTAAATTGACTCAGCTAATTGGTCTCGAAAAGTCAGGACAGTTTAGAAAAGTTGGTTTCTTAAATTGGGTTGACTTTTCGACACTTTCGGAGTTTGTCTTATTAAATTTCGGTCGTTGAGGTTTGAAGGTGGTCTTTTATCAATTAAAAACATTATAAAGTAATATGCGACGACCATTGTTCTAACAAATTTGATTTAGATTTCATCTAATCTGGAGTGGAAATAACCTGTTTAACACAGACACATACTCAATATATTACTATTTATAACTACTGTTAGAAATACTATATACCTACTATCAAGAATCAAAACTATTAATTACATGTTTGTTTTTAAATTATTTCCTAAACAGCATTTTTTTTTATAAGATATTTCATGTATATTTTTGGAGTTATGTTAAGCAACGTCATCATGGCATACGTCTTCGATTTTGAACTGGTTTTAATTATTCTTTTAGCAATCAATAGGTTTACTCGCATGTGATCTCGTATTGGTTTTGTGACCGCTGCAACTGCCGTTTTTCTTTTCCTTCTAAAGAACTATGTAGCAAAGTAAAAACTCATGTTTACAACAGGATTCCGTATTCAAGTTAAAATATTTTCAGTCTTCAGTGTTTACAAAACATCTTGTCGTTTCATTCATCAGTTTAATTTGTCAAGACTAAAGTCATTGACTTTTGGAAGTACTCGTAAAATATAATTTTTATTCATGTTTTTCTGTGATGGAGAATGAAAGTTCAATTTATGTAGAGCTTCTGACAAAAACAATAAAGATTTATTTATTCACACCTAATATGTAATTGCGGACTATTCACAATTACAACGTTTCCAAAATTGATATAAATAAATTTTATGACTAGGTATGCATTTGGAAAAAATATCGTGTCAAAATTAGCTTTAAGTATGGGTTTACTCAACACGCACGTACAGTCAGTAACAAAAATGAATACTTACAAATTAGGATTTTGAATTAGTTTGTGTATAAAACATTAAATAAAGTTACATTTTACCTCACTACCGACCAAAGGTGGTTTATTAAATTTTCAAATATTTCTTTGAAGCAATTTCTAGTAACTTATTTATTTATGGTTTTACTTAGTACCTGCTGGTAGAATGTTTGATGTTGATTTCAGATTGTAATACGTTACTTCAGTGTGTATACATAATGTATGTACTTCGAAAATATTTTTACGGTAGATAAATTTGCATGGTTAAATATGTAGTCTACAGTACTAAAGCCATATTGTTAGAAGTTTCTTAAAGTTAAATTAAAATACCTAAGTTAATATGGTTAGTTTTTCAGTTACAATAGAATTAAAGTTGTTCATTAAATCTAGTTTCTAATATTATTCTTTCTATCTATTAATTATACGATTACGGGGTTCCAATAATCTATTCTTAAGTGAGAATTTTAACCTCACGTTCAATATAGCAGTGCATGAATACTAATTTGATAGGTGAAAGGTCAAACACATTATAAGTATTACTGAGAACTTCCATTATGAATTACTTATTTTCTCATTAATTACCATTCTGGAAGATCAATTGCTTGTTTATTATATGGCTTCCTTTAATTCGCTGAAGTATTTCAAAATAGACACTCAATTTTTGCTATATAATTATAAAGTGTTATATGTAATAATTTGTTAAAATACACCAAAGTATCTATTTGTCTATTTCGAATCGATTTCAGTGTTTTTAATAGAGGTATGTAGTTTTATATAAAATAAGTATATTAATATGTCGGCTTCAAGGTGGTTTCAATTCATTCTCTTCTAATTATGTTTCACAATAACAGTTAACAAATGTTTATTACGACATAGTTGTGATGTTGAGGTTATGATATTATACTTTATCATCATAATGGAAGGCGTTTCGAAAGGGGAGAGTGTTTAAATCTGTGGTTAAACGTTTAAACTTAGTCGGCGGAATATTTTATAATGAGAAAAAAAATCAGCTACTTTGTTATTACAGTTATCATTGAAAGTTATGATTTTAAATAGAACACTAAAGCTATACTGTAGATCAGTGTTTTTCAACCTTTTTAATGACTCGATCCTCGTAGTTTGAAAAAAATATTTCGTGACACCCGACCCTTTTTTGTTATGTCTTTTATAATATTACAAAGATGTTGTAGGGACTGAATACTTCAATCCATACAACATCTCTATGCATTTGTATAATTAGATTTCGGATAAATACAGAATTAAATGCATATTTTTACATCAAATACGTCGCTAAATTGATAACGTGATTTATGCGCCATTTAAGACAAATCTGATGCCGATAAAAGACAAAAAATATTGATCCAAGAAAATAATTTTGAAGTTTCTTTATGCAAAAACAATGAAATTCTTCAAAATTACTCTCTTAGGTCAAGTGAATTTTTTTATCTGTGCATGGACGATGTTTTTTTTTTGTTAATATGTATTAACATACAAATGTTTTAATTATTCTTGATAATATTTATAACTGTATTTTTTACTGAGGTATTTTTGTGATCTGCCTATAGAGGTTTCGCGACCCCCCAGGGGGCGCGACCCACATATTGAAAAACATTGCTGTAGATTATAAAAATGAAAATAAACAAAAAATTTAACCTACTAGCTACTCGTCCTGGTTTTGGTACGGGTGCAAATTTTACATACAAACGTTCTGTTAAATATATCTTAATAACAATGAAAACTGATTCAAAATCTGTTGTGACACCGCACAAATGAAATGAAATAAGTAGAGAAACAAACAGATTTGTTTTACTTTGTTTTACTCTATTCAAAGATGGATACATAACTAAAATAAAATACAGTTCTTAATAAAAACTCAAAAGCTCTAATACATAAAAAAAAAACCTATTTTTAGTGTCTTAGTATTTCCTTTAAATCTGAATCATAGAACAAAGTGTACAACATCCAAAATAAGTTATGACGTTTGACATTTTTATGAATAAGGGGTTTAATCTTTTGATATCGACTGTAGTAGGTAAATAAAAATAACACGCAATACAAAACTACGCATACCTACGCTTACGACACGATCGCGTGAATTTCCCAGTACCTAACTAATGCGTGTGAAGAGCGTTTGACAGATGAATGAAAATTCTTTGGCTTTCCTTTGTGTTGTGTTTTAAGGCAACATGAATATTTAATGTGTATCCTTTTCATAGACACTTTCCTTCAAAGTGGCTATTACGCTATCATGTTGTTATATAAGCAAGCAAATATATCATCATGTTACACCACACACTACGAACACGTATCACTTTTCGTGGTCGCCTCCTGCTATACTTTCTTAAATCAATTATTAATTTATTATAAATCAATAAGATATTGTAATTATATTTACTAATTACATTTGTCGTTATAAAATTGACGTGAAATTTTTATTATAATTTAATTTGTTATTTTTCAATTATTAAGAAATTGTAAAAGTTTCAATAATAAAAATGCATTATAAGTTTAATAAATTTATTGTTGTTGGTAAAAGATATTCTTAGGTAATAAATAATATAATAATTCAGAAGGTAAAATCTGTATGTATCTAAAAGTTTTATTAAGTAGCTACCTGGGCTATATTAGAAGAAAAATCAATACTCCATGCAATAATAAAATGTATATCTATAATATAGCTTATTTAAACAAATACATGAATTCTTTTTTATAATACCATTTTGTATTTTTTAAAACAATAACTATAATATCATCATTGTGATCTAAATTAAAACATTCACTAATTTTAAAGTCTTCAATTTTAGATATAATTTTAATTGATAGATTTACATAGAAAAACATGATTAAAGGCTAGACTTTATTTTCTATCTCAGAGCTTAGGCAATGACCTACGAAATTTATTGCGAACTTAACCAATCAACGATTAATAAATCGACCTTGGTCGTTAACTTTTATACTTAAATTTAGCAGAGTTCATAAAATGTTATATTTTGTTTCGCTAGATAATTGTATATATATATATATATATATATATATATATATATATATATATATATATATATATACATACATATAACCTACATAACAAACAAACTTCTTCCCACATTTATAATATTAGTAAGTATTGTTTCCAGTCTTGTAACAGGTCTATTTTACAAACAAAGTGTAGCAAAAATATATAGATATGTGCTTTGAATACTGTAGAATGTGACCTGATATCTCTAGTTCACGTGAATAGCATAGTGACAGGAAAAATATATATTTTTATCCCGCGATAGTCATGAAAGTTTTGAGGTTACATTATTGGAGTACTATTTCATGTTATAAACATACAACTATAGGTGAAAGTTAGAATGTAATCATATATCTATATACATATAATCATTATAATTATACGATGTTTGTACATTGGAGATACTGAAGAAAATGTTATCAGACAATTTTATAAGAGCAATAGAAGCTAAGAAACAATAATATTTAGAATTATTATTTGGCTGTATATTAGTTTCGGTTTTACATAAATTGCTGTAAAAAATTGGGTGCAGTATATATAGTTGTGTTTTAATAGGACTCACTTAAAATTTTGTGAATCACCATCTAAAATCTATTTTATTGTTGTCTATGTCATTGGGTTAGAAATCCAATTCTAAACTTTACGCACATAGAGTTGCATAAGTTAGTTTAGAAGATTTTATTAATACAGTACTTTAGCGTTTATTATCACGGATATAACAATAAAAATCATTTGGTAACTGATTAAATAAAAATATTGTTTATTATAGTGAAAAATTTAATACAAGCAAGTTAATCTAATTACCTCGCTTCTTGCCATTTTCGTACAATACTACAAGAAAATGAACCCGGAAAACGCTGTATAAAGTTAATTAAAAGAAAAATAAGAGAAAAGCTGGCATAATGCAATAACGGCGTATCCAACATTTTCGTAATTCAAGTTTACAAACTCACCTGACGGAACAAGTCGAGGGCCGCCGAACCACTCCGAGCGCCAACAGAAAGGTGTACCTAACGGCGTCGACGCGAACGAACACAAATTCATGAAACCCAGTACTTCGCGCGACCTACGCTCGGTTACACGAGTGTGAACGCTCAACGAAAACACGTGTTCACAGGAAACGTCAAACTTTAAAATTTACACTTACAAAGTTTTGCATGATGCTTGTGTACGGATCGAGTGTCGGACTGTAGTGGTGAGCTGATTATCGTTAGAAAAGGGCTACGTATGAATATTAGTAAGTTTTTATGGTCATTTCTAATACATATATAAATAACAGTAAGAATAAAAAAAATAATGAGTTTTATTTTTAAATAACGAAATTAGTTTTAATTACCTAATAATAAAGAATTCAATTATCTAATATTTATCTAATAAACAATAATGTAATAATTATATATTGTTAGTTTAATAATTAATAATTCAATTACTCAATTACTACAATTAATTTGGAACATACATAGGTATAATATTAATATCACAATTATTCTTGAGAAACATTTTATAGAAAATTTGCATTCAATCTGATAGAAACATTCGAGTCGATAAAACAAGAATAATTCATAAAAATAAACTCATAATTGGATACTTACTTTAAATTCTATACACAAAATAAAATAAAGCCCATTTTTATTCCATGGAGACAACAGTGAAATCCCTTACAATTTGACTGTTTACATATTCAAAGTTGACTGGATTTTGTGCCTAAAACAGGATTAATGGCGGCGTAGCAAAAAGTTCTACGATATGTCATAAAAATAGGCCTGTATCAAAGTGATTCATAACAAACGGAGTTGCGTCTATTATATTTATTTGTAGTATATTTTGTTTCTAATTTTATTGTTTCACGACACAGTTATTAGAATATTACTGAGATACCTAGAATATAATAATAAAAATATAAAGTAGACTTGTAATTTTTTTTTGTTATTTATACATTACATCTTCGCTAATTAGCGAAGATGTAATGTATAAATAACAAAAACGAAATAGTTTTAATAATTATTTTTGTAATTGATAGGGTTTACTCATTTGTTGGTCTTATATTAATAATTATCTAATTTTGCTGTTTTATGTAATTTTTATTAAAAATTTAATATTTTATTCCACAAATAAAAACTATTTTTTTTATTGAAGTAGAATTATTTTGTTACTCAAAATGAAGATTTTAATAATAAGTTTTACTAATACTTTTTACTAATTATTTGTTTTATATGTTTTATAAGGATATTTTTTTTATCTTCTTCTATATAATTGTATATTTTTGTTTTCGGGTTCAATTGCCAGTCTAAACAATATATTTATTATATAGTTGATAATTGTACTTATTGTTTTGAGTCGTATTCTGAGACTTATTTGGATTTTGAAGTTGATATGATTGTAAATTATTTATATTTATACTATGTTTATTCGATACTCAATTGTATTTTTATATTTATATTGTATTTATAAATAAATAAGGATTAAACTAAAAACATTGTCATTCATCTAATAATTTGAATACCTAAATAAATTGCGTAATTAACTTTGCTGTTGTGCCCTTAGGTGTTCGCTGCGGTATTTCTTATTGTCCAAAGTGCTCAAGTTTTATAAGCAGAAAATTGGTGGAATTATGCCATTTAATTTTATTACATTATAATTTTTTTTAATGGCATAATTTTTTCTTTTATCAATCGACTTAAAAAAAAAGGAGGTTCTCAGTTCGGTTGTATTTTTTTTTGTTTGTTATTTCATGATTCCGTCAGTTATAAACTGTTGTAGATAATTTTTTTATCTGAAACGATATACTTTCACATTGGTTTTCATACAAATTTAGTTAAAATCAATTCAGTAGCTTTTAAAGTAAAACAATTGGATTTGGCACAATTAAAGTCAGTTTTTGTAAAATACAATCTTAATTATTATAAGTTACATCGAGGAAACATTGTTTAGTATTACTAATATTAAGAGTGAGTAGAACAATCTTATAACATTCATTAAGTAACTTAATACCTATTGTAGTACTTCGTTAACATTTATAACAATAAGAAGGAAAATAATAATCTTCTGATATCTATGTTATAACCCCATAATAACTATAATACAATATACAATACCTGTTACTAATACTTAATACTTTTATGATACTGATACCATAATTGTCTGTTACAATAGGTATATGGTCATTTATAATGATGAGAGAAAGAAGAGTAACACCACAGTTCTTAAGTATGGCAATGCATGATGGATATCATGGGCGTCATATTTGCTTTGTGATCTCTATGGTACTGTTTACGTCTGTACGCAACAATTACCATTTTCCATTAGGAAGGCCGTCAGCTTGTTTACCAAATAAGAAAAAAAAGAAGAACACTTTTATCATGTTGATTTAATAACTCAATACCCATTATATTGTAGCATGTATTTGCCGAGTGGTCCATAGTACTACATGTACCACAGTATTATAGTAAGTACTTGGTATTGTTACTACTTGGTTATAATTTGTAATGCAGTATTACCAGATTGGGTATTTTTTTCGCAAGATTGGGTAAAAATTATTCCATATCTGAATTTTCAGAGTAATGACATTCTTAGAGAAATTTGAGTAAATTTTTAGGCAGTTTTGAAAATAGAAGATAGGAAAAGACAAGGAAGCCAAAAGTAGAAACACATAGAAGCGGTTATTTTTTTTTCTTATCCTTTTTGATTAATGGGAAAACGTATTCAAAATTGACACAAATTTGAAATTGGGTGAAACTATAGGAAATCGTATCGATGCGGAAAAAACATACTCAATATTTGGGTAATAATTAAAAACTGCATTTGGAAACCCTATTGTAATGTTAAGAATGAAAAAAAATTAAGAAATATTGATTTATAAGCACCAAACTTATATATTTGTGCAAATTTTCCCACTTGATTAATTTATTAACTTAAGTACAAGCATTTAAGAAAGAGTACAGAGGATTAGTTAAAAAGTTTCCAGCACTTTAAATTGCACTTAAAACAATATAACAATCCAAACCAACTTGAGGTGTTTAAGTATCCCTTAAAGTTTGTAACGAAGTGCACGCCGTGCCCGGCGGCTTACAACTGTGCCCTCTACCACTTTTTCTAGTCAGTGAAACTGTTGAATCGAATTTCATGAGTCTTTCTCTGCTAATGTATGCATTTCTGGGGGATGATTGATGATTTATACAAATATGTCGTCTAAGTTACCTCTATTTTTATTGTTAAATAGCTTTACTTGTTTATGAAGGGTAAAATAGTATAGAATTATGGATAAAATACCCTTAATCTTCTGGTCAAAATAGATGTGATTGATCTTGATGTTTAATGTACCATTTCGGTAATGTCAATGGTATTTGATATTCATGTCTGTATCTGCGGTCCAATTATAGTAAATTGCGCTTTTGTTATTGTTTTTGTTGTATCATGATGGTTCATATATTTCTTATTCCGTTTAAGATCTTAATTAAGATGATTTTAAAAGCTTTTAATTTTTCCCTTGAGGGAAATGTACGTTTTGTTATTCAAATTATTGATTGTCACTGTTTCTTTTTACAACATAATAACAAATTGTATATTTTAGTTAAATGGAAAAAATGCAACTTGCTATATTCTAGTCAGGTGTTTTAATCAACAAAAAAACATCTCTAAATTAACAATTCACCCCAAAGCTTGACTGGTAGAGAATGCCACTAGCATTAAGCCTGACTTTTGTACCTTATTTTATTTTGATCAATAATGTTATTTAAAAAAATAAATATCTATTAATCGATTAACTATTATAAGAAATTATATTATGCATTATATTATTCACAAAGCAGATAACATGTAATATCTTATTGAATGATTTTCCATTTTACGGAAGTCCATATCGTCGGCGTAGTTGGGAAGCTAATTAATTCAATTTTTGTTGTTTCGTTAAGTTGTGATATCATTTTCTCCTTATGTTTTTATGATAATTAATAAATATGGGATAATTTTATTATAAAAATGTACTGTATGTCCAGAGAAATCGAAATAAAAATGCAAGGTTACAGTTACTAGTTTACTGGCCGGTTACAGACCAGATGACATTTTTTATTTAGTTACCTTCAATAGTGTAACTTGATATCCTCAAATACTACAAAAATATTTATAGTAATTTACACTAAACACTATCTTGATATGAATAAAAGAAATTCTATGACGATATTACTTTCATTCATTCAGATTTGAATGAATATAGGCCTCTTGCAAAAGGAGAGTTTTGCCAGTAATTGCGATGTTTAGCAGACGAATTAGCAATCATAGTTAAGCTTTGACGCTGCTGCCCACCCTTTGAGCATTAAGTTTCCTTAGTCGGATCTTACGATACCCACGGGATAAGAAGGGGTAGCCCATTCTATGCCGGGATTACACAGCAATGATGGTAATGTCATCATCTATTACAAGTAGCTAATATTATTTTGTAATAAAATAAAAAAAAAATATATATAAAAAAATATATAGAATCTTGTTACTTAATGGAAACACGCATAAAACTTAGAATTTATTACAGTAGGTATCAATGTATAAAACAGAAATGGGCCTTTATAGAAATGAAGTGTCATAGCATTCGTCTACATCGTGAGAGATATGTTGGATATGTGAAGTGACAACATGACAAATAATGTGTCGAGCAATGGATGCCCTTTTTTTTTTTAATTTACTTAAATATATGATAGTACAGGCTCTAAATCGTGACTTTGCAATCAAAAATTTCCATATTTATAATATTATAAGGATCAGGATAAAATATTATTAGACGAAATTACTACTTCAAAATAGGTGCCACGATCTTATAATTTTTCTATCTATTTTTATTTTTATTGTTGTAGTTTTCTAACACTTAAGTCCAATTTTCAAACCGAATTTTTATGTACTTTAATTTTTTATACTCTAAAATACTTATTGTATTTTATTGATCAGATTATAATTTTATACGAATAGATCGTAACTGCTCGTTGTTTTTCCAAAGGGAATTATTTGATAGTGTAATACTTGTAGCGCTAAGAAGGGATTTCCCAAAATCTCAACGGAACGAGAGATAACGGATTCGATTAAGCCAAGCTATGGGAAATAGCTTGTATAAACTTATGTCTATGTTTATACATAAGGCATCAAGTATTACTTTGTATCGTTGAGTTAAAGCTTAATTTAATGTCCCGCTTTCATGCCCTTTGGCTACGGAACCCTAACTAAGACAGTATGATACGAATTCCTAAACCTTCGCTACCATATTATACATATTCTCCCAAAATACTTTCAAAGAAAATATTTTACGATGATAGGATCCGCTTCGTGCTTTTTTCATTTTTCCTCTCTGTATAGACTTCTCATTGTAAAGCCGTTTTATTTCTTAAGTGAACGTTCATATGGCTAAAATATAAACAAGGCTTTTAGGGCAAATTTCTTAGAAGAGATCAAACAATTTTCCTTTATAAAGTAGAAATACAAAGCTCGAAAATGGAAAAAAAAGTTGTATCGCCAAAAGCGAAATCAATGAAATATTATTAGAGTACGTACACCTTATGTTTTATTTTGAATATGATATTCATGAAAGTTCCGTAGGTATATAGGTACATTTTATTTAAATTCATAATACAGACCGTTTCATGTGACTTTATTGCTGGCTAGTCAATAAAAGCAGTACTAATTGCCTAATATAATTTTTGTTATTTGTCGTTAGATAAGTAGTTGGTTTGTTTGTTATTTTTAATAGTAGGTATAAAAATTTATTTAAACATTTTTTATTTTTTTTTTCAAATAACCACAGATATATCTGTTTCCTATGGCTTTTTCTGCGTGTATTAGTATATAATGTATTAAATATATGTTAAATTATAACATAGCAGAATAAAATCCATTTATGTACCAAATTTCATTACAATCTATTGATCATGACTGACTGACAAACCCCTTCTAACATTTCAACCATTCAAACTTTCACATATATAATATTATATTATTGTAGCAGGATATATAAATTCTTTCGAATTTTTTATAGGTCATGAAGTTCTAGAAGTGATCGACTCAATCCTTACACTAATATTTATTCACGTCTTTAAATCAATATTATTTTAAAACCACATTTCACGTGAATTGTACATGACATGGATTATTACATATGCACATGTATTTTATAAAACACTTCATGCCATCGCATTTCATAGGTGGCGTTCCTCTAAAAGCTAGGAAATAGAGGCACGTTGTCTCAAACTATATTAGCGCTGAGCACTCGCTTCGGGTCGTTGAATCGCCTTTGATGAAGGATTTGCTCCTTGAAAGCTTTTGTTATATTTTTCTTAAAGCATCCCCTTTTTAAAATAGAAAAGTGTCTTAAGTACAGTGAATTGCAGCGAGATATTGCGGTTGGCTCGTTAGTACGTCTGTGAGGTAGAAGTTTTTGTATTTATATAAAAGTTTTTAACAAAAAAATACAAAAAGAATATTTTGTATGTACTTTTATGCTCTCGAATGTATCTTTATATGGATTAGTTTAAGAAATTATTATTTTAAATATAGAAAAATGCAGATATTTTTAATACGTATTTCTTTTTTAAATTCAAAATTCCGTTTATACCATCATATCTATGTTCTATGCCTCAAGTACGTCGTTGTATTTTCGTCTGTTATTAGCTAATGAAATTTTAGGTTTACCTGACATAACAGCTTAGTCTGTTGTCGACCATAGCTAAAGTGGCTATGGTTGACAACAAATAATAAGTCCAGTACGTGTTCTAATTTACTTGGGCTAACAAAATTGCAGGAACTTACTAGTCTGTTATATGTTGTACATGCAAGAGCTTCGTTATTATATTGTCGTGCAAAATGATATTAAGTATGCAAAATGTTGTCGAAACTGGGCACCTCGATGTATTTTGACGTGTAAAGGACAGTATAGTATCAAATATAATCCCTTCAACACTCGGGACTATACCGTAATTCATGCGGCGAGACTGATTATAAATTCCCCACCAATTTGTTCAACGACTTGTCTAAATATAGGTACTTGTGTTTGGACATTAATGAGGGAGTATGTACTTTGTTCCAGGTGGCTGTCCCGTCGCCAGGGCCGTACCGACGCGACGCTAAACACTCCTGAATTATTCATTGCGATATTTAACCGTGTCCAAAAAGCCAGCAGTATAGGATAGCGTATAAGACTCCCGATGTAATGTGAAAAAGAAATACTAAGATTATTCTATTTTAACTGCGAAATAACTAGATAAAAGACTAACAATAAAGGACAAGAATTAGATGGAAAACATGTTCTGACTACTAATAAACTTATGTCTAAATATAGAAATTTGTAGCTTCATTTATTAACAGTAAAAAAGTAAAATAATCAATTCAGTTACATTAATCGCGCAGTGACAAATCCAAAAGCATATGAAAGAATTCATCGAATCAAATTAAATGTCGACAATCGACAGTAGATACTGAAGGTAGCACAAGGGCGAACGAAATGGAACTTGTTTTGTTCAAAGTTGTGTTTTGTGACCTTAATTGAAATTAAAATGCTCGTAAAATCTTTCGGGACATTGGGGAACTTTAGTTAATTGTAGAACTTGTAATCGAACGAAATGTTGCCAAAGTAGAAAGAAGAAGAAAAAGTACTATAAGTAAGTGTGTAAATGTTAGAATGATGAGGTGTTTGCTGAAACAATGGCTCCTGACTACAATGTCAGCTGTGCTGGTGATGGGAACCGGTGAATGGACGGAGGACGCAGAAGATTTAGGTAAGTTTAATACTTGTATCTTTTACAGTTATTGTATTATTTATACCAACATTGTGGTTCCAGCATGGAATAATCCACCAATTCTTTTTCCATGTTGATCACAGGATGGGTAGCAGCGTTCCTTTTAAAATATCACTAAATGTAACTACTGTTGCAATCCAGCCAATCAAGCTTGGCAAATACTGGCAAACCCCCCCAAGGGGCAGGTCTATATTTAGTGGACAGTTAACGGCTGATGTCATTAACATTATTTAATTATAAATTATATTAATAAAGAGTATAAAAATGTAAAATGTACCAATAGCATATTATAAAATTAAACAGTTTTTCACATATTTATACATACTATTTGTATCTCGCGGTTGTGTCTGTCTTAATATCTTAATGAATATATAAAATACAACTCCTATGTTCTAAGTTAGGATATAACGTACACGTTTACCAATTTTCATTTAAATACGTTCTGTTGTTTTTGTGTGAAAGAGTAATTTCCATCATGGATGTGTTTGCATGGCTGTGTTTCGGTTTGAAGGGTGGGATATGGCAGCGAATTTACAGGGTACAGAGAAATAACACCTGAGTTTTCAGGAATGGCAACGCATGAAAGATATTATGGGCGAAACAGTATACTGTTACATAACAGAGTATACTCTGTTATGTCCATGGTCTTGCTCATGTCTACAGGTGACAGCTTGTTTGCTATTCCAAGTTGCTTAAAAAAAACCAAGAATATTTAATAATAATTGCATAAAAATAAGAATGGATGGACATACATCCATGATGAATATCCATCCATTCTTACAAACTTTCGCTTTTATATAAGGATTTATAATAGTATATAAAATACGTTTTATAGGATTTTGTTGTAGTAGGATATATAATACGTTTGTGAACAAAAAAATTATAATGATGTTTAATAACCTATAAACCGTGGTCGACACAATATTATGAAAAATATTTCGTTTAATGTGGTTTTTAAGAATTGTTTTATTTTATGAATAATAGGTTTCGGTATGCTTTCTTTACCCTTTTCCTTTTTAAGTATATAATTATAAATCATTTTATAATTACCTTATTATAAACCGAGTAGTCACGTGGTCTATTTAGTATTATGAGAGGTTGTTTCGATTCATGTCCCTGAGAGAAAGTTATTCAATTCCATGAATACTCGATTTGGGAATGTTTCTGTTACCCTTTTTGTTTCACCGCATATAGTAAAATTTATATATGTTTTAAAATTTATAAATACTATATGTTATCATTTGTAACATATCAAATAAATAACTTCATCCTAATGTAATTTTAACAATTATTGTTGTTATTTGCAGAGAATTAATTGTAGCTACAATACGGATAAACTCGGATAAAAATGTATTTAAATGTACAAAAGATTAAAATATTCTTATTTATTTATTCATTAGTACACATATGTGTACATGGCGGACTTAATGTTAAAAGCATTCTCTCCCAGTCAACCATAGGGAAGTGTCAGAATACTGATTATTATATATATATATATATATATAATTATTATAATTATTGATATACATACACACTAAAATTACATATATAAAAGAATAAATATATATGAATAACAAATATACTTACACATATACTACATTATACACGAAATTGAGAATAATATAAAGCACTTACTGCTCGGATAAAGTAAAAGAGTGAGCGTGAACGTTTTTTTTGAAAGACGGTTTAGTCAGTAGTCTCTTAATGGCATCAGAAAGCGCGTTCCAGAGTCGTGAAGAATGTAAGAGAAAAGAGTTTGAAGCGTAACCAGTACGGTGAGAGGGGAAAGATAGTTGGAGAGTATTATTGGAACGAAGATTACGATCGTGAGTTTCAAAAAGATACTGGAATTTACTGCTTAAGTTCTTCTTATTAATTTTAAAATAAAAAAAAATATAATCAGATTTTAGTACTATTTAATACTATTTATAATAGATTTTTATTTACTATAGGTATAGATGATTATTATCAGGTATATAAAACATGTTATGAAAAACAAATTAATAGTAAATACACATATTTTTATTATGCGGGGATCGAACTTACGGTTAATGAAAGATTCATGATTCCGTCAAACATACACGACCCATGTTGTAAAGGTAAATTAAATAGTATATTATATTAATTTCAACATAATTTGGTTTAAACTTGACAAATGTTCCCGTATTTATAAAGACGAGCCTACGTACTCTGAGATAAGAATGAAAATATTTTCTGTGGAAATAATCCTGCTACGACTGACCTACTTAGCGCTCGTGTAAGAGGCTTTAAATAAGCTTAATGATTCTTAAGATTACATTCAACAGACGGTTTGGAAATTATTGTGACATGAAAGAGTACAATGGAATGTGATTTTTATAAAATAAACCTAAAACTCATATTGATAAATCAGTCTCAAGAGTAAATTTATGTGAGCGTTAAAATGCTGTTTCGACTTATAAATTAAACTTGCATCAATGTTAGCGGTTCTGCCTTTCTGAGTAAAATACAAACGAATCTATTGATAGAATCGTTACTACTAGCGAGTCCATGAGATAGACCAGAGGGAGACTTTGTACAAAAGTCGATTGCTTGGCTACCTCTGTCCCATTTATGTTTCAACCGTGAAGCAACTGTGTTTGCATGGCTGTGTTTCGGTTTGAAGGGTGGGATATGGCGTGAATTTACTGGGTACAAAAGAATAACACCTGAGTCCTCAGGAATGGCAACGCATGGGGGATATCATGTGCGAAACAGTATACTCTGTTATGTCCATGGTACTGCTCATGTCTATAGGCGACGGTTGCCACTTTCCATCAGGTGGGCCCTCAGCTTGTTTGCCATTCTGTTTTATAAAAAAAAATAGAATGAGATGGCAACATACACTGTCTCGTTTTTCACATGGGAGCGATGACCGAAGCGATTCTAGCCATAGACTCGTTTGTATCGTGTCTAGGGGGGATGGTATCACTTGAGACGGTTCCTATAAGAAGTAGAATGTTGAATCTGGTCGTTCAATCATTCACTCAAAAGCGACTTCATTTGATTGAAGTTTGTAATCAAGTGTAATATGAATTGGTTTGCTCTTAACATTCATCTATTAATTAGTGATAAACTCGAAATGTCGATTACGAGGTACCATAAGTGCAACTCAGCTAATAAGCTCTCGAGGTAGATCTTGAACATTAATTATCACGTTATATTTAAAACATTCTTGCTTGCAAAAAAATTACGACTTCATTTCATGTAAAGTTGCTTGTCTAAACCACATATAATTTATAATACTGTCTAAAATAATATTATAAAGTGGATAGATTTTTTGTTTGTCAAAAAATACAGAATATTACATTATAAGCGTGTAACATGTATTTCGTTTATAATTAAACTATGCGAAGCCAGAAAAAAATTGTTAGTTACCGATATATGATTATTTCCTAATTTAAAGAACATAACGCCATTTTTTTAAGATTCTTCCTTTAGAAAACGTGATGTGAAGAAATCTATATTCACATTTTGTGGTAAAACTACAGCCGCTCGTCTTCTATATTTTAATAGAATCTTTTTTCAAATTTTATTTAAGATAGGTACAATATAATTTATTTATTGATTAATAATTATTTATTGAGTAATTAATTAATTTTATTTATTAGTTTCATGAATGTTTGATGAATACTACTTACAAAGATTTGCATGCTATTGAAAATGGCTAACATACGAAACATTAAACAATAAATTTTAACATCCTATTATGTAAGTAGGTTTTTGACAAATAAATTATTATTACTATTATCATAATAAATAAACGTATAATATTTTTTGCACCTGTTTAAATTATTATAATAAATTTGTTAAATGATCGAAATCTATATTAAATATGTTTTTAAGATTATTGATTTGTATATTTTTTTTTTGAGAAAAGCAATTATTCTTGGTTTTAGATGTCATAACTAAAATCAAATATTTTCATTTTCATTTCAATCTAACAGTAAAAACAAAATATTCTTGTGATGAGATGTGTATACTTATCTGTTTGCCACAGCATCTTATCTTTTGCAGTTTATGAAACATTACAGGAAGATTTAGGATAATAATCTCGATAGTTACAAAGAAATTATACAAAATAATATAGGAAATTTGTTTTGTTGAACCTTCTCTGTGCAGCAAATTTTTTGTTTCAATTTAACAAATAAAGTTTGTTTTTATAAAAATATTTAATAAGATAATATCGTATTAAATACAGTGGCAATTTATGCCAAAACATACAAAATCTACTAAATACAAACTGAATAAATCAAAAGTGAAAGAACTTAAAAAGAAAACCAATACGGTTTCATTCTTCAATGTTATAAGGAACAAATGTTTGTTTTGTCGTTTTAAAACACAACAATTTTTGATAGGTCTTGCCTACTATTTTCATAGAAAACATACAGGCCTAGTTTGTGCTAATATAACGCTAAAGTCCATGGTTTGTTACTGCAATACTTATGCTTCCGATACGTTCTTTGATTTGCTTTCATTGCATTAAACTGTTAGCAGATTATGACTTCTTAAAATAAAAGTATCGTTTTTTTAATTCTGATTTTGAAAAAAAATATTTAGGATACAACTTGAAACGTCAAACAAACATAGGCGTATATAAATCAGAGCTAGGAGGGTTGTGCTTAAAATTAAAATTAAGCCTTAAAATTATCTGGTGCCCACTACCGTATGCGAGGGGAGTTTTTAACTAGGCACAAAGACAAGTCTGAGAGGACATAATATGCTCTCTATAAGGGGTTAGCCTTGCCTGTAATAAATTGCCAATGCAAATAAATTGACGATTTACCACATGTATAATGATAAAGGCAAATAAGACCATAAATGATGTTTAAAACGTATACGACGTTCTCTTGTTGCTACTTTTGTTGCTTAAGATGTTACGACTCCGTATGCAGTAGTTTCACTGACATATCCTATAGTTCAAACCGCAATATCCATGAAAGTACAGCTTCTTAGTAGCA